CACTTTATGCACCGAATATTTACAAGAAGTATAAAGTCTTAAGCAAAGCCTATTTTATGTAATAAATTCTATAGTATATCAATACAGCAAATTGACCTGTGTCAGAAGTAATCTTGTTTTTCAGAACTTCTTTTGCACTTTAGTGCTTAGAGGAATGGTTTCACATTCACAGCTACAAAGAATAATAGAATGTACTAGTTCAGGTTAGAGAAAGGACAATATTTTAATCAGGAATCAAGACAATGCAAATTAAAATTACAGGACCCATTAGAAAAAGTTAACCATGATCAACCCAACACTTTATGTGACTGACTTCTGTATAAGATTGGGATACAGATATATGTGATTCATAAAGATTTTTCTCAAGAAAAAATTTAAAATTGCTGTCATGTTGTTCACCTGGCAGGCTGCGATGCCCACGAAGCAATTGAGGATGTTATTGTAGATTCTAGGATCATCAGATGTGATGATATTGAGAACATCCACACCGTAAGGCTTGAGAGTTCGTTGGCACTTCTCAATGGCCGCTGCAAAAACAGGCAGTTTGAGGAGGGATTTCCCCATACGTGGCCATTGCGAACCTATGCCAGTGAACACGAACCAGACTGGCCGTTTGCTTCCTGGATAAAACTGAGAACAAAGCAGTATACAAGGTTATGAGTTCTGAATGTTACTGATTATCAGAAATGCCTCCGTTCTGACTATAGGAGGGCAAAAATAACATTTGTAAGAAATTTGTACTTAATGCTGACAATAACACCACATAAATTATTATTTTATGTGCATATTTAATAATCTCATTTACAAAGTAAACAACAGACCACTTTAACCTCTTAACTGTGTTAACACATCAATTTGGTGCACTGCAAGATACAACCACTGCATTATTCACACTTATCATTAAATGATAACAAAATAACTACAGAAAAGTTAGGTATTAATAAATTCCTTGGTTTACAAATTCATTAAAACTTCAACTGGCGAAACACATTAAGTAACATATAATATGAAACAAAAATTTGTGATGCAACTTACAATTTCTGGCATTCTTCCTAAAATAACATTTTGTCAGAGGAAGAAACTGGAACATCCAATGCCACATTATCGGAGTACTTACATTAATACTCCGCAGCTCCCTGCCATCCTGAGTCAGAAGAGTGTACCCTCGGTATTTGTGGCCAATAATTTCTGTCGACTGTATATCATGCATCAGGTGCACAAATTCTGCATCAACTGGCCGGCTTTCAAACTGTACACACATATGACAAAACAAAATAAAGCACCAACTTCAACAACAATTTATAACACTGTTGTTTTTATTTATGCTTAGTAAGACACACAGATAAGAGAAACAAAAGTTTCTTGATATTGCTAAGATAACCTAAAATAATTAAATTGGATAAGGAATTAATTATTAAAGAATTGGAAATTATTCAGATAACAGCATCTCTTCAACTGCAGAAACATAACCCATCTGTGTAACAAAAACTTCAAGCCAAATAAAATAAATATACAATTCCAGTCCTTAACTAAAGTAGCCGGAGCATCTACAGTTGTGCAGGAAATTAAATTCTAGAATTTTTTGTTACAGAATTTGAAACACTCTTTAAAAATAGTGCATCTCGTCTGGTGAAATCCGATAAAGCTCAGTATACAGGACTTTATATTTTTCACTGCAATCACCAAACTCAAATTCCTACTGTGAGCAATGCAGTCAGAATACTTAACTGTTAAGTTACTTAACAATGCTCTTTCAACTGCTGAGGTTACAACCAAAATGATCTAAAGGCCAAAATTTGGAAGGATACAGCCATGGCCTATTCAAAGAAAACTAACCTAACCTAACCTAACTGAGTAAAGCCACATCAGACTGAGCAAAGAGAGCCGCGGTATTGAAACTGGGTATCTGCCGAACAAAAGCCCACAGCATTACCACAGCGACAAGCCGCTCAGTTTTAAATAACCCAAGAAAGAATACAAATGGAGGAGCTCTGTCACACAATGTTTGAAATTCAAAGATTTAGCTTTGTTAAATGTTAAATCAACTCTTCTGGGTATTCCTAATTACATCTTTGAGGATGACATCAACTGCCTCTTCTGTGCGCCCAGATGCTACAACAAGTCGAGGAACAGAGTCAGTAGGAGCCCCACCATTTATTTTATTCTTCTGATTCCGCCGTAATATAATGTGAGTGTTTGCTCCTCCAAATCCAAATGAGCTGACTCCTGTAAGCTCGCCAGTCCAAGGCACTGTCTCTGTCACCACCTGAAACAAGACACATTTTTGTTTGGTTATGGTGAATGAATCTTCTTAGCTTCTGCATCTCAATTGAGGTAAAGAAATGCACATTTTCTACGTTCACGCACTTATGACCTCATTTTTCCCATCAAGATAATAGGACAAAACATGACTACTGATACGAAACTAAAAGTGTAACAATCGCTACCAGGCATTGTGTGGCAAGTTATTTTCCAAGTAACAACCTATAAGTTTTGATAAAAGTAAGTATACACACATAATGAAATTTCAGTAATCAGATTTCACTTGAGATTACAACAAGAATTCAAGTTTACAGACGTCTGCCTACAAGGCAAAACAGATCTGTGAGGCATAAACACAGCACATTTGTTATCCATCTATAAAACTAAGATGATTAAATGGATTTGTGACAGTATGAATTCATTCTGAAAATGATGGCACAAAGAGAGAGGTTTTCAAGTTGTCCTGCTATGACATGAACACTCACCTTCATTTGCCCATTCACAAGTGCCTGTACACCTGCTCGAGGGTTGTTGTAGTTCAAATTTGGGGGGATCAAGCCAGTCTCCATGGCAATGATCACTTTGGAGATACCACAAAGACCTGATGCAGGTTCTGAATGCCCCAAGTTGGACTTGACTGATCCTATAAGGAGTGGGGTCTTTCTATCTTTACAGAAAACTTGGGCTATACCATTCAGTTCTTCAAGATCTCCTGCCTGAAATTGGTAGGAGCATTTGACTTACAACAAGAAAAATTACTGTGCCACATTCCAACAGATTCATGTTAATTTAAATATCTGATCTGTTATAACAATATTCTGACTTAGTATACCCTGAATAAGAAGGTAAAATGAAGCATGCAAAGTTTTCAGTCTAAATTTCATCATTTTTAAAATAAAACTATTGTAATATTTTATCATAATATTAGAAGAATTCTTCCAGTCAAAAGTGAATAATAAGAAATTCTACTTACTACTGAAATGGCATATCCTTGTGTTGACACATCAGTATCTTGGCCATAAGAAAGAACCCCCAAGCATAAAACTATACTACCAGAAATAGGTAGACAGCAAATGCCAAAGTGATGTTTCAGTATTCCCTCCCTTACCCAAATCTATTGCAAAACAAAGTTGAAACCATCTGACACTTTAACCGTGGACAAAAAGATGTTCATTTTTATCAGCACTTAATTACTGAGTGTGAGCAGGAAAATAAAACTTGAAAAAACATACTCTGGTTCCAGTTCCATGTGCTTCAAAGTATTTTACTGCACTGGGATCAGTACCACACTCCTGGTAACACTGTTCTAGCAACAATTTCTGTGCATGTCTGGAGGGGTGTAAGATACCCCCATCCTTCAAGCCATCGCTGTTATTCTTTGCATGCACCACTGTGGCATAAATACGTTTTGCATCGCGAGCCTTCTGCAGAAATATCACACAAGCAGCCTCACTCCGCGCATAGCCATCAGCTGTATAAATGGCAAAGCAAGAAGTCAAGAGGTTATTTCCTTTAAGAACACTGCAGAGACAATCTTGCAGTCTGAACTCATTTTAAATGACTGCTTCAGCTATTGTAAATAAGGATTAATTACTGATTGACTAGTCACAGACATGAAGATGTAAATTATAAGTCTGACAAGATGGCTATTTACTGGGTTAGTGCACTGTGTAGTTAATTAGAAGTTTACAGTTTCAGAGGCCACCGCTGTGAAGGGAACCTCTGAAATATTGGTAATCTTCTACACAGACTACAGAGTGATATAACTCAGAAGACAGCCATCTTCATTCTGGGCTTACATTTGGCCTTTGCTGTTCAGGTTCTGCTGCCTTACAGGAGGACTAGAAGAGTTTACACGCATTGAAATGAGAGTAAGAAATGTAAGCATCAACCATTCATATCAGCCACACGGACTAAAAATAATGATGGGCGCTACTGTTATACTAACCTTCCTTCGGTATGTTTGTAGCCCTGTGAAACCGAACGTCCTCGAATACCACAGACACGCTGGTATAAGCCTGTTGAATCATCAGCCCAAGAGACTTCCACACAAGTTCCTGCGTAAAATGCTCATTAAATTAGTGGTGCCACTGAAGCACAGAGCGTAAATACATCAAAATTATTTAAACTATATAAAAAGCAAAGCTGTCCCACTATACGCCATGTG